ACGGGGTGCTGAGACGTGACCAGGACTTTGAGTACTGAGTATGATGGGTTGCATTGTAGGGTACTATATAAAGGCTGAGAGAATGAAAGAGGTTTGTTAGGTAAGAATAACCAGAGGATGGCGTCAGTGAATTGGTGTTAAAGTCTCCGGAGAGGATGATATTTGAGTAGGAAGGGATTAAGTTGTACAGAGACGTCTCAAGTGATTCATAAAAAGGAATTCTAGGAGGGCGATATATGACAGCAAACAGAATGGCAGATGAGGCTGTGAGGATTTCGGCGAAGAGGTATTCAACATGCGGAGAATCGGTTATGGAAGAGCATTGAGGGATTTTGGATTTAAGACTGTCATGGACAAAGAGAACTACTCCACCACCCGTGCGATCTACTCTGTCATGATAAAGGAGATTACAGTTTGGTAGAAGGATCTGGGAAGATGGGATTGTGGGTTTCAACGAGATTTCGGATACGACAATTGAATGGTAGAAGTTATGGAGAAAAAAGTCATAAAATTTATCAAAATGGGCTAGGAGTGACTGAGTGTTGACATGGCAGGTTAAAAGGATATTAGTCAGGGAAGAAGGAGGGGTGACTTGGTAAACGGACAAAAGGAGTTAAGAATAGGAATATTTCTACAGTAGCTAGAGCCAATATAAGCCCAGAGACCATAACTATTGATAAGATCTCTATTGAGAGGAACAATAAGTGTGTAAGGTTTCCCAGATATTAATAATGATGGAAAACAAAAAATATAAAATTTAGTTAACGAAAAGTTTGTTCCAACTATGAAATAGAAAAAAAATACATAAATTAGAATTTCTAAACAGATCAAACCTAAAATGTTCTCATAAATAAAAATAAAATTATTATCAAAGTATATTAATAAAACAAACAAAAAAAAAACAAAAACATATACCTGAAGATATAAAAAAGTAAAAATAAAATTGTACGAAGTAATGTAACATGTGTGCGCATGTCAAACAAACATGTCCAAGTCTGATGGTGAGTTGATGACGACGACCTGCAGGCCATCGTCTCGTCAACATTTCACCTTGCCTGCACTAAACCAAATGTATCTGATTTTCTCTGCAGACCTCTTTTGCCAGGCCAACCAGTACAAGTGTCTGTGGATTACGGACATAGCTTTGCTTAGGTAAATCTTGTGCTTTACCTATGTGATAATATTGCTAATAAATGTGACAAGGAATTGCCATAAACATAAATTTGAGAAGATACCAATATTCCAAAAACCTATATATCGGCGTAATGACTTCTTTTTATCGATATTGATAGATTTTTACCATTTATTTATTTATTATCATATATATTTTTGGTCCTTCTCTTTCCCTAATTTGAGCAGATACAAAAATTCCGGCTCTATGACTGTTAACACCACAGCATTATTTTATTTTTATTTGAACAACGGTTTAATTAATTGTTCTTATGGTTTATCTCACAAAATGAAATCAATTAATAATTATATATATATATATATATATATATATATATATATATATATATATATATATATATATATATATTGTAATGTCAACATTGCATAGGTATTTGAATATTGGCGCGAAAGTGGTAACAGCACGAACTACTGAGAGGAAGTGCTGATGGTGGGGGAAGCAAGCCTCATATAACGGCAGAAGGTGACCAGCCAGCAAGTCGAGAAAATCTAAAAGGAGTACTAGCCGATCGGAGTGAAGATGGAGGCCACTAGTGGTGATTACTTTGCGTTGGAAGAAAGAACTAGTGGAAATTAATTCAGTGGTACCGAAAACGGAACATTCATAAATAAGAATAGTTTAATTCACTGACAGGTGTAAACATTTGGGTGAGTGCTAACAATGCCATTTATGTTGACAGAGGGATAGAGCCAAAAAGTGTAGATCGGGACAAAAGATTTTTGAAAACAATTATAAATTTTATATGTATAATTAGTGTAGCTGGTAATTAGTAAATTAGTGTAGCTTACAGTTATTTAATTTTGAATGAGTGTTTAGTTGTCAGAACCCAACCTGAAAATTTATATCTATGTGTGAGAAGTAAATGGTATACTGAAAAAGAAACTCATTTGATTTTGGAGGGAAAGAGAACATTACAACATATATAAATATATATATATATATATTTTTTTTTTCGGTTGGCGCTACAGACCTTGTAGATCTTTGCCCACGAGATGTCTTCTATCTAGACCACATCCCGATTCCTGATTAAGTAAATGGGGGTAGGGTCATCAGGCCTACGCACTGTCGGTGTGGGTTGCCTCCAGTAGGCTGACAGGCCTCACAAATCAAGGGGGAGGGTAGAGTCTCGGACAGCATGGGTCCCTGGTGGACGGTCACCCATCCAAATGCTAACCACGCTCGGCTTACCTATTAACTTTGATTACCTATTGCAAACAATGTGGGCAGGGTGGCCAAATGGGCTAACGCGTGTGCACTGCACCGCCGTTGCCCGGCAACCTGATACATAAGACTTTGATTAAAAAATAATCACGAGTTCGCGTCCCGGTGCCCGGAGGAGTTTTTAAATCCTTGTCCACACTCCCTGGCCCAGGAAAACCCCCGTATAGCCTTAAAGGCAAGGAAGGGGAGAACAAAAAAAAAAAAAAAACTATTGCAAACGCCTTAAGACGCATGGCTATCCAAGCCCTCTAAATATATATATATATATATATATATAGAATATAGTATCTTATATCTATAGAATAGAATAGAATAGAAGAATCAACTTTATTTTGGGACAAAGTCCCTTAAGAATAACTTAAGGGTACAAAATCTTAAAACAAAATCTTAAGAATAGATTTTGAACACAAACATTAACATACAATCTGGCCAAAATACATATTGCAATAAAAAACTAAGTAATAACAAAAGTATTTTCATGACTATACAGATATATTAAAGACATAATATGAGCAATATGGTCACAATACTGCAAAATAGTTACTACAAACAATAAACTATGGTATACTAAATGAAATTTGAAATGAACGATAAATTAATTGTGTTGTCATACCATTGAATTAATAAAAAAAATAATAATAAAAGAGCAGATAAATATTTACTATAAATGATTTACATCTGTACCTTAATGTGTTCAAATGAATACAATAATAGTATTTTTAACATTATAAAAGTGTTATATAATCTATATCCTAAGTTGTTGATTGATCGGAGAAAATAAAAGATAATACACATAGACATAGACATATATATATATATATATATATATATATATATATATATATATATATATATATATATTTATATTTATATGCCCATAGCTTAGATTGTTTATATATTCGATAGACTGGTTAATAGTGTATACTTAAACTGTTATGGACTGTAGTCCTAGTTATAAACAAGTCCTAGGTTCAAGTCCTAAGCCCGTGGATTTTGCAATACACAGTCTGACTCCGTCCGCCACTGAGCTCAGTGCTGCCAACTGTAGTCCACCTTTGAAGGAGACGTACTTCTCTCTCGCCAGTCATCGCGCTCACCGCTGCCCACTTGCAGTTCGATTAGAGCCTTTATGAATAATGAATCTACAACAAGTTCAACTACAACTACTACAACAAGCAGTATAAGTGTTGGAGTGCCAGACAGTTCGTCCACCATTACGAACATCACCTGCTTGTGTCCACCTAACGTTGTACCACTTTATTTATTTATTTTTTATATAAGTTTTATTATTGGGCTATTAACATTCATTTTAGTCTCAAGTTGATTTTAATATTGTGCCCGTCGTATCAATTCTCTACTTTGTTTTAGTAGGCTATCATAATTTTTTTATTATTAAATATTTCTTAAATATTAAGCATATTATTATTTTCATTTATATAGAAGTTATTATTTTATTTTATTTAGCCTCTTCAACTCGGTGTAATACTCGATAATATGTGCAGGTGGTATTGATGCAGTGCAATATAGAGGACGGAAGGTCATTGATATAGATGGAAAAAAGGGTGGGAGATAAGGACCCCTGAGGAATGCCACTGGACAAGGATAGATACTCTGATGAGGGATTATTAGGGACTACAACATACTGGGAGCGACTGGTGAAAAAGGATTGGAATCTTTTAGGGACATTTGAAGACAAGGAGATATTTTTAAGTTTGGTAAGGAGTATATTGTGATCTACTGAGTCAAAGGCTCAAAGAAGAGGGATAAAAAGGGCGATATGGCTGATACATTGGTCATATTGGCTTTTGTAATGTCGGCACCAGCCAAAATTTCAATATTGGTCCATCTCTAATATTAATCTGATCATTACAAAAAAAATTATACTCATCTTGCCTCTTTTATATAGAATGTAGTGCGTAGCAGAGGAAAATATCGATATTTCGATAATATCGACTATAGATGGCCATCCCTAAGTAGAGTTGAATAGAGCAGTAGGACCCTTCTCAAACCAAGGCCACGAATTGCAATAGAAATCTAGTAGGATGTAAATAAATTATCATTTCACTGAATCTGATTTATAGGTCAATAGGTCAATGGAAGCCATAATTGGTTGGTTAGAAATTTCTATAAAAAGCTGAGGATGATGAAGATGGACTGGAACTAGAAAATTAATTTTACTAAGGAGGGTAGAAGAATTGGTATTTCCATTAATTAATTTAAAGATCAAAATAACATATATTTTTATGCACCCAGGGGTGTCCATCCCCCCAAGGTCGATGTTGTATGAATCACCCTCCTCCCCAAACATTTTATTACTCTCCTCTTCCTAAAAACAGTGCAAATGAAAATAGGATTAGACAAATCATAGATCATATATAATTTCACTTGCTGTGGTCAGTCCCATGTTTTCCTCATAATTCTCTTTTTGAAACTATACACTCTGAAAATTCATAGCCTGGTCGAAATGTGCCCCCTCAAAAATTTTGATGCTGCAACTTGCGCCATGAAACCCCCTTCTGGGTACTCCTGGAACTATCAATCTAATCATGGAGATTAAACACTTCATGAAATAATATAGTACATTTACCTAGGATCATGCAGAGATAACTTATCATTACTATCTATTAAAGTCCAAACTGTTCCTCCATCAGAGATATAGTAAAGTTCATTAAATAAAGCACTTTTATACCAATCAGGTAAAGATCTGAAAAAACAAACTATATTATAAAGTTCTATAATAAAACTGCAATTAAAGTAAGAAATGTATTAACTTATATACTTATTTTGAAGTATAGGTTTTTGCCAGTTATATATTTCTTTTTCCCATCGGGGATAATTACTTATACAGTATGAAGACAACTGAGGAACAGCATTCCCTTCTTCCCCAAAATACTTTGTATAAAACCTGGAACACACTGACTGATTAACAAATAATATATTTAAAAAAATACATTGAATTCAATTTTAAAAATAGCTTATTCATCATCAATATACTATCAGAAACTTATAAATATTTTCCTGATAAAAAAATTAACCTTGCTGATAATTTAATAAAATAGTCTGTCTCTGTCTCTGTCTCTGTCTCTCTCTCTCTCTCTCTCTCTCTCTCTCTCTCGTCTCTCTCTCTCTCTCTCTCTCTCTCTCTCTCTCTCTCTCTCTCTCTCTCTCTCTCTCTCTCTCTCTCTCTCTCTCTCTCTCTCTCTCTCTCTCTCTCTCTCTCTCTCTCTCTCTCTCTCCTCTCTCTCTCTCTCTCTCTCTCTCTCTTCTCTCTCTCTCTCTCTCTCTCTCTCTCTCTCTCTCTCTCTCTCTCTCTCTCTCTCTCTCTCTCTCTCTCTCTCTCTCTCTCTCTCTCTCTCTCTCGTGTGTGTAAGCTCACGTGAGAGCTTATTGGATAAGTTTTGAGTGATGAACAGGCATTATTCTATTTATTATTCCTGTCTCTCTCTCTGTCTCTGTCTCTGTCTCTCTCTCTCTCTCTCTCTCTCTCTCTCTCTCTCTCTCTCTCTCTCTCTCTCTCTCTCTCTCTCTCTCTCTCTCTCTCTCTCTCTCTCTCTCTCTCTCTCTCTCTCTCTCGTGTGTGTAAGCTCACGTGAGAGCTTATTGGATAAGTTTTGAGTGATGAACAGGCATTATTCTATTTATTATTCCTTATAATAAGATTAAAAAAAATAACAACACTTAGATAGAAATAATGGAGCAATTCAATAATTAATATTACCTCTTTAGGTCTTGGGTAGAAAAGCTAAACTTTGGCATATCCCATGTTAATGAAAAAATATAGTCAGATGAAGAATTTGAAGCAACACAAGATCTATAACATACAGCACATGCCATTTCTTCATTGTCTGCTTCTGAAACAATGTCATGTCTAAATTTTAGACAAACACAAATATATTTTACTGGCAAACTAAACAGACACGCTACCTGTTTAAAACAATTAACAGGATTTTGATTACAATCATTCAAAAATAATGAATACTGATGTAAAGTAAAATAAATTAATTCATTTATAAGGAAGGAGATGGTCCGGAGAGTCGGTCATAAATAGTGGCAAAACTATTTTATTAAAAACCAACGTTTCAACCCAATCAAAGCCAATAAGTATTATTTAAGCCTGAACAGACATCTTGAAAGCTCATCATTATTAAATTTCCTGCTGAATCATATTAAACCTCAAACAATTCAATCGCGAAAATTATCTCCTACCACTAAAAATCCGTCAACTGCTAATATCCTCCCTTATTTTCTCCAACTTTGACTATGGCAGACTCTCAGGCGAACTTAAAGCATAACTAAAACAACTGATAAACAGCTCATTTAGATTTATTTTCAGTCACCAGGGATATGCTTATTAGTCTGTGGGCCAGACCTCCTTACCGTGCACCCCCTCCCCCCCACATCCCTATAAATTGCATATCGTTGTGTTCCTTGTAACTATTTATTTAAAAAAAGCCAATGTTCCCACAAAAAAAAGTGAACGCACTGCCCAAAATGCGCCAAAATGGCGGATTGACGACTTTGACTTTAGTTAGTTTTTTGGTCACTGAGAATCAGCATTTGGCTTAATTTCCTCATAGTTGGTCTTTTATTAAAGCTGAATAGTCATAGAATAATAAAACATGAAGAAATATTAAAAAATAATTGGCTTAGGCTATGAAAAACACCAGTAAAGTCAATTGTTTTAACAAAAAAATTTTCAAGTTACAAATCAAGCGTCGTTTGTAATTAAACAGCCTACAATAACGCAAAACGTGCTGAAATAAAACATCTGGAGAATATATTTCTCTTTCTAAAACGCTGATTATTTTTTAAAAAAAGTTAAGCAGTTCCGTAGAAAATGCACTTATGCGGCAGAAAAGCGGTACTGGCGTGGGTGCCTACAGGCCTCTACCACACCATTCAGTACACATAAATGGCTTAGTTATAGTGATATAATAACATTTTTGGTACATTATATTGGTTTTATTAACGAACAAATATTAATGCAATAATTTAATTGTAAAAAAAAAATTTTAAATTAAAAAAAAAATGATTATTATTTTTTTTTAATTTAACCTCCTTTATTCTATACGTAGGTCGTTTAAAAAGAACTCCATTGTAAAAATCATATAATTATAATAATAAAACTTAATTAAAAAATACTTTGCTAAATATCTTGATTTTTTTTTTATTTAACGTTTGCAATTTAATACTGTTTTGTATATTTATTGATTCTTAGAGGTAATTAAAATTTTTATATACTTCCAAGGAAATGAGTCATATTAATATCTGTTTTATGAAGTAAAATAATATCTACCTAATCTGAACTATATATAATGAATAGCTACCGGGTTGTTTAGTAAAACTCATATATCTCTAATTAAAAAGATAATTGCTATTTCCTTTATTTTGTGCGGAAGTTGGACTATATAATAAATAAATAGGAAATTTTAATATGGAATGAATTATTCTCTCTGCACAAAGAAAGATAGAAAGGGTGACGCTATGAGTTCTTCTATAAACCAGAACTGATTGTTTGTTTTTGGTCTCAAAATGAGGAAAACACGCGAAATTGAACCAGAAAATTGGAAAAAATACATTAAGCGAACGAGAAAGGAAGTGCCAAAACCTAAAGATAAAAAGGACCAGCATTCATTATATAGCTAAATGAATGTTTAGTTGACAGATAAACAGAATATTTCAAGATGCTGCTAAAAGGGAGTCAATTGCAGTTTGGATGATATTAAGTGGACGATGTAGGTTTATTGTGGAGAAAACCACTTTATTTTCGATTGCTGAAGGTGCACATCGGGACTATCTTCACTTCGAAGCAGGATATAGAGAGGTATATCGAGAAAGTTATAGCTCATAGCTCTCCTTCTGTTTAGTGCATTTGCAAAAGATTTTACATCATACCATTCACAAACGCACACATTACAGCACACAATAACATATACACTGACACTAGGGCATTTTCAGTACACATCCTAGGGCAACCTTCCCTAGGAAGGCCTGGCAGAAGGTTTAAAATGCAATCACCCATGAAAAATGGAGTTCAGAAATCGATGTATAGCCTTGGGCAAGCCTGGGAATGAAGCTTCACCAGACGGGAATTTTCGACAACTTCCTTCAAGTAATGGTCGAGCAAGTGGCGTGGTTGAAAAACCTAACCTGTTTACTCGAAATACTTGCAATGAACTATAAAAAAATGATGAGAGGACAAATAGACATTCCTAACATGTTCTTTCAGGGTATTACCATTCTAATTCCTAAAAAACAGGGAGACCTATTGGAACCACAAGACTTCAGACCAATTACTTGTTTCATTGGAGTTTATAAGATTTTAACATCTATTCTATCAAGTAAGATTGAATATCACCTACGATCCAATAATTTGATCCCAACGGAGCAATTTGGTGGTAGGAAAGGAGCCCAAGGCTGTAAGGAGCTGTTGCTCATAGACTTGTTTGTTACAGGCCAAACGACCACGAATAATAAACAAAAAGACATTTGTCGATAGCATGGATTGATTAAGAAAGGCATTTGACTCGGTCCCTCACAGCAGGCTGTTAAAAGTCTTGGATTTGTATAACGTTCATCCATGTTTAACTGAACTTCTGAAGAAATTGATGAACAGCTGGAAAACAAGATTGAGGATAGGACATGAGCAATCAACAGACCCTCTGGAGTACATTAAAAATTCGAGAAGTATACACCAGGGAGACTGCCTCAGCCCCCTTTGGTTTTGTCTTGCAATAGCTCCACTATTCATTTTATTAAATTGAGAAAGGAACAGATACAAAATACAACTTAATGAATTGAGTGCAGTAATCAGCCACAGTTTTTATATGTGCGATTTAAAACTTTATGCAAAGAAAAAAATCTCCGTTGCAATCATAGATTATAAATAGTTAAATACTGTAACGCAATTTAGTAACTCAATACACATGTCACTCGGTATTGAGAAATATGCTGCTTCTCATGTGATTAAAGGGAAGCCAAGTAACTCCGAGAACATATTTCATGAAACATTGCATATTAAACACCTAAAAAAGGAAGAGCTATATAAATATCTTGGGATAGAGCAGCATGTTAAAATAGCAAGCAAAGAGGCAAAAAAACAGACTGATAGGTGTTGAAAAAGAGGTTGAAAATTATTCTTACAACATACCTATCCTCAGGTTCAAAAATAAAAGCTGTAAATATGTGGGTTATACCAACCATATCTTACAGTTTGTGAATTTTAAAATGGTCTGTAACTTTACTCCTGGAAAGGGATAGATTTATACGGATGAGTATGACTAAGTACAGAATGCATCACCTGACTGCATCTATGGCAAGGCTTTATTTGCCAAGAAAGGAAGGTGGGAACATGGAAAACATTGAAGAGACGTGCCGAAAACAAGAAATGACCCTGAGAGAGTATTTCAAATAAATCGAAGTACCTTTTCATAGGATAATCTGCAATCTCAACCATGGACACACAGCGTTACAATTAGCAACTCCAGAAACTGCTGCATCCATCATTTTCATTTTCAATGACTGACTAAAAAAATGGAAGTCAAAAACACTGCACGGAAGATTTTTTTATCAGATCCAACAAACTGAAATAGATAAAACATTGCCTACTAGTTGGTTGGTTAAAGGAAATCTGTTTTCCGAGAATTAGGGCTTTCTGATAGCAATCCAAGATCAGGTCATAGCAATGAGGTCTTACATGCGACATGTTTTGAAGCAACAGACAGTATCAGACAATTGTAGCCTCTGTGCCAGCATATTTGAGTCTATTCAGCACATAACTGCATCACATCCTTTTTAATTCAAGTTGTCTTCCTCTGGAACTATATACCCTCAGATATTCGACACACAAAATCAATATCCTCTTTCAAATCTCTCCTCTTTAAACACCTACTCCATTCCCAATCCGATTGATCACAAAATGCACTTAAAAACCTAAGCTGTAAGAATCTCAAAGTACACCCAGATATTTTGATTATTTTGTAATTCATTGCCTCGCGCGGGCTCATTACCGCGTATGGGGAGCGTCCCAAGGGTGGCGGATGTGGGGATGGTCGGTGGAAATTCCTTGGAAGTTCCACCCGGCTAAGTCCGATGGACTCGCTGACCAACAATGAGAGGGGCCCTCCAGACTTGCTGGAGGGAGGGGACCTCCAGACTTGCTGGAGGTAGGGGCCCATCAGCCTTGCTGGAGGGTGTGACGTAGGATTGAACGCCCTACTCACATATCTTTAGTCCACCAAACACCACAAAAAGTCATGGATCTCCCTAAGGTAAAACGCTCATTATCCGGAGGTAAACTAGTCCCCCGTTCGGGTCTCCGGGTGGGGACTGCTTTAGGGGATTCATGGCGCAAGTTGAAATATAGGGATTTAAATATTGGTACGTGGAACGTAAGGAGTTTAAACACAGCAGGGGGGCTAAAATCGGTCGCGAATGAGGTAAATGGGTACAATTTGGATGTCGTGGCTCTGCAAGAGGTTCGCTGGCCAGGGGAGGGCTCGATGAGGGAAGGGAAGTACACTATTTGGTACGGAGGAAGCGGGAATCATTGTTTAGGTACCGGGTTTCTAATTAGGCGTAGATTACTATCCGCTTTGAGGGACGTACAATTCTTTAGTGATAGAATTTCGGTAGCTACATTTCAGGGACGTTGGTTTAAAATCGCATTAATAAACATACATTGTCCGACCGAAGACAGTGACGATGAAGTCAAAAGTGAATTTTACGATAAACTCGAATGGGTTTATGATAAACTA